AATTGGCATTCTGTAAAGCAATATAATTGAGAAATTAATCTCAAAACTGGATACTTACTGGGGTGTTGGGAGGAGAGTTAAATAGAAAAATTGCTGGCAGGTAAAATTGTGGGACAAAAGGGACAGAACACAAATATGCAAAGTTTAAAACAGAATATGTAACAGTAAATAAAAAACTTAAAATAAGAGATCTTGTACTTTAAAATCAATATTAATACATTTGAAAATCTCAGTGAAACATACAATTTTCTAGGAAATGTTTTTCCTAGAAAAACTGACTTAAAGGGAAATAGAAAATGTAAAAGGAAAAAAAGATTATTACCAAAGAAAACTCTAAGCCTAGATGTTTTATGAGGATATTCTTTCAGGATTTCAAGGAATAAGTAATTCTCATGCTATCTTTACAATACTTTACATAGCCTAGGAAATGAAGGAAAGCTTTCCATTTCAACCATGAACTCTGGTAATAAAAATTAACAAAGATAGGACAAATAAAGAAAAACACAAACTACTCTCATTTATGATTACAGATGCAAAAATAACAACTGCAATATGAGCAAATAAAATTAGTTGGTACATTAAAATAAGACTACACTATGACTAATCAGGGTTTATTTCTTCAGCAAATTTGGAAAACAAAAACCAATAAGATATGCCATAAAATAAAATGCAATTTCTCATGGAAACTCCTAATAAACTATGACTAGAATGTTTTTTAATAATAAAGAATGTCTTAAATATCTTAATACTTAGTGGTGAAATGTTAAAAACAATTCCATAAATTAAAAACTGCACAAAATACCTGCTATCGTGTATTACTTAATGTCATTCTTAATATTCTAGGTTTGTGTAATATGAGAAGAGATGAAAAAATGTGCATATAACTGCCAAAAAAGAGAAAATATATCAGCTGAAATATGACTAGATCTAATAAGTTCAATAAAGAGGAAAGTTATAAAATGAACCAGTGAAATTCATGAGCATCCCTAAATACGATAACAAAAAGAAAATAGAATGAAAATATTTCATTCATAAGAGTAAGCAAAAATATTAAATATTATAGCAAAAACATCAAAAGAAACATGCAGAATCTATATTTAGAAAATAAGTCATTGTTTAGGGACAAAAAGAATAAATGATTTTGAATTAAAAGATTCAATACTATAAAGATGTCAGTTCATCCTATAGTTTCACATACGTAAAATATAACCTTTCAAAAAATTGTTTTGGGATTTTAATTGACAATTAAATTAAAATAATCCTAAAATAAACCTTAGAGAAGTATGCAAACACCTTAAAGAAAATTATGAATGTAGTCTTATAATATTTACTTTTCAAAGACACTATAAAGCTACAGTGATTAATATAGCACAATACTAATAAAAGTTTAGATAGATCTATAGGCTAGAAGCTAAAACTGAGAAACGGTTTCAAATACGCAATCAGTATGATAAAAGATGTTTTTTCATGTCAGAAGAGGTAAGATGGTTGTGTAATAAATAACACAGAGATACTTGGTTAATGGCTTGAGAAAAAAATTAAGTTGTATTTCTGTTGAAATTACATATCAATTGTATTCAAGAGGAATTAAAGAGTTAAATGAATAAAAATATAATCAAAGAATTGAAACAAAATATAGCAGAGTGGAGGAAGCCTTTCTAAACAAACCCCCAACATAAAAGAACATTAAAAAGGAGGGAACGATTTGACAACAAAAACCATAAAGTAAAAGAAAATGATAAAATGTAACATATACGATGGGTAAACGTTAATACCATTAAAATATACAGTGAGAGCCTTACAAAAACATAAGATCTAGACAAATCCTTTAAAGGAAAAATGGACAAACAACATAAATAAGCAATTCACAAAGGAAGAGACATTTAATACAAATAAATTTATGTCAAATGCTTCATTCTCTATAAGAACCAAAGAAATTCAAATTAAATCAGCAGTAGTGTATCCTTTTCCCCTACCAAAACTGGCAAGAAGTTTTTAAAGTAATAGTACTTGTTGAGGACAACGGAACACTCGCAGATACTAAGAGCGGTACACGGTGCCCTTTCTGTTGGGCAGTTTGGCAGTATGAATCCAGAATTTTAAAAAAAGAACCCATGCTTTGACCCAGGAATCTCACTTTTTAGGAATATATCCTAAGAAAATAACCACTAATTAATATCAAAAATTATTAAAAAGTTATTCATATTCAACTTTTTCTTTATAATGACAAATAATAAAAAACTACTTAAATGTTGAATAAGAGACTCAGTTAAATTATAAGAACTTCACTTTATGCAATATTTCTGTAAATAAAAATTGCATTTTAGAGGACTTAAATAACTTAATGATAGAAATTCACAATATGTCATTAAGTGGGAAGAATAGCTCATAAAAGGATAGTAAAAGGATGATTCTAACTTTAAGGAAAAAAGATTTGGGCGCCTGGGTGGCTCAGTGGGTTAAAGCCTCTGCCTTCAGCTCAGGTCATAATCTTAGGGTCCTGGGATTGAGTCCTGCATCGGGCTCTCTGCTCAGCAGGGAGCCTGCTTCCTCCTCTCTCTGCCTGCCTCTCTGCCTACTTGTGATCTGTCTCTGTCAAAGAAATAAATAAAATAAAATAAAATAAAATAAAAGATTTAACAAGTACATGTATAAATTAAAATGGAAAGGACCTACAACATGACATAGGTAGAATTAACAAATTAATTTTATTTTGTATTTCTATATTTTTACACTAAATATGTAAAAAGGGAATTTGCTATAAATTCATTTACAACAAATTTTGTAATGAGGGAAAAATAAGAGGTATTAAAAAATGCACAGTGCTTAAGATAGAAAATACTGATAAGCCATAATAATATGTATGGGGGATAGTATTTAAATCAGTTTAAAATTTCAGAATAATTATAACTAAGTTAGGTGCATAATAACTAACTAGCCTGATCTCACCTGGACTAAAAATGCATGTTGAGTTTTAGCAGTGGTTGAATCAAGCTATCTGAACACAATTTAAACTAAATTTTATTTCAGTTCTCATTATATTATTGGTATGTTTTCTGTATAACACGTATGGTGACAAAATACTAGGTTGTAAAAAGAAACAATTATGTAAAGTAAATAAAAATGAAAAATTTAGTAAGAATCATACCTCCTATGCTTATAAAACTGAGAGCAGCTCACAAGTGAAAAATTCATATATTACATAAAGAATCCAGAAAAAAGTTAAAGAATTTGAAAAGCCTAATTTTGTATGTGTTTTTGCTTTCAAGATTTACACATTTTTTCCCAAGATTTAGACATTTTGACCATCTCAGGCTAGTACAGTTTTCACATTATAAATTCATATTCAGAATGAAAAAGAAAGAAAGATGGAAAGGGGTCAAGAGGGAGGAGATAACCCAAAGCATAAAAATTTGGTGCTGAATCATAACATAATAAAATGTTAGCTTCCACATAACTAAGAAAAAGCAAGACCCCCATCATTCATGCTGGCAAAAGCTTGCCTTTGCATAAACCATTTCTGTTCTCACTGTTGTAAAACCAATGACTTCGGAAAGGATAGAAAACCCAGAATGACATGCAAAGTAGCACACAACATGTTATTGCAGCTGGATGGAGAATATGTCTCTAATGACTTTCTTTCTACCCATCAGTTTTAAGTTAAGTTTTTTCCCCCCAAAATAGCAAATGGCCTTTATGAGTGAGTATAGTACAGAAGCAGTAAAATTTAAAATAATATCGAATTTCCACTTAATTTTAATATTGTATTAGTTAATAGAATGAGTTACCAATTATTTCCTGGGAAAGAGATGACTACCTTTTGTCTTCATTTGAATTGAACACAACATGCCTAAACACTAGACAATTTTCTGTAACAAATTAAAAATACCATTTTCACCAGATAGTTATTGCCAGATGTTTATCTTAAATGAGACATTATCCATGACCAATAGGAAGATTCACCTAAGTTGTTTGACAACTTCACAAAACTAACGCAAATTCCCAAATTGTTAGTGCAAATCAGAGTGATGACTGTAAGAGATACCTTATAGAATTAATTAATGACCATGGATTCTACTCATGATACCAAAACTTATACAGTCCTTCTTCTCCACAAAAGCATCAACAAGAGAGATTTACGGAAGAAGGAGCACTTCCTGACTGATAGGGAAACTTAATTTTTAATGGTTCTTAACATGTTTCAAAATAATAGTATTAATCACACATCTTCAGAACTATAGATGCTCATCCTGAGCAGGGTCAGAGGTCATGAAAAGTTAAATCTTATGAAATCTGGGTGAGATTAATCAACCTATGATCCTATGTGTATCTTAATAAAAACAGCAACCACAATTTAACCTCATGAGTGTTTTCTAAGTGCCAGAAACTGTCCTCAAAGCTTTACTGTATTAATCCTCTTAATGAGCCTATGAGGTAGAAACTCTTACTCTCCCATTTTGGATACAAGGAATCAGAAACATAGAAAAATTCAGGGACTTGCCCAAAGTCATTCAGCTGCTAAGTGACAGAGCCAGGACTTAAAAACAGTAGCCAAGCTTCAAAATCCACCCATAAGCCGTTACGTACAACACATTCTATAAACTCTTTTTTATAGGTGCTACCCTTGACCATTTTTGACCAGAAGAAATTCAAATTAATGATTTGGATTCATAAATTAAGCCATTATTATGATTTCAAGAGAAAAGACTAAAATTATCTTTAATTTAATTATTCTTCATCTTTTGACATTTCTTTTTCATACCTTTCTGTTAAGTAAATTAATGAAACAATTTATCTAATAATTTATATGTTTATAGACTAAAAAAAAGAGAAGGCAAGAATTTCATTCTGTAAACATCATAGGAATAAAAGTTCAAGGACACACTATACATTTACCCTCTCATATACAAACAAATATTAAAGGTAAGAATTTAATTAGGGTACAGAGAGCAGTAAGCATGTTCTCCACACTGGTATGTTTGATATTTCATATATTGTACCTTTAATTTCTCCAAGAAGTTCACTGGTATTTAGTCTTTCCATTTTTTCCTTCCAATCTTTTGAAAGTAGTTTTTCCATGCAGGAGGAATCTATTAGAGTAAAAAAGTAAGGATTAAATATATTACATATGTATTTTTTAGGTATTAAAATATTACAAATCCAAAAAGCCAGTTTATGGAGAAATTCTCTCATTTCAAAGTTACTTTTCATTGTTCTTTTAACCCTAGGATATAGACAATTATATTATTGTATCTATCACAAAATAACACAACTGAATTTATTTTTACCAGAATATTATTTGAACTATTCCCAGGAAAAAAGATAATGCTTAATAATTTTGTCTTGGTATCATAAATATAATTCTATTAATATTCAGTCAGCATTTATCATTTTTTAGACTGATAGGACAGAAAAGGGGGTTCTTTTCTATGATAGGTTTAAGTTTAAATGTTGGTCCTTTTAATCCAGGTGATTTTTTTTTAAGTCTAAGCAAAATTAATGTTCTCTTCAAGGAAGAATGACAAATCTTCAAGGGAGAAGAAACCAATCAAAGTGTAACCACTTAGTCCTTAAAAAAAGAAATAAAATACGGCAATTTTTGTAAAATACCCATTTAGAGAAAAATTCAAAGAAAATAAAGTCAAGATGTTCTCTGTCCCTCAGTAATAAAAACTACTAAAACTTTTCTCTTATATAGAAAGGGATATATATTCTTATAAAGGAATACTCAGTTAAATACTACTTTTCCGACTGCATATCTAAATAACATACTAGATTATAGGGAATGATTATAGTTGTTTCTATAAAGATTCATAAAGGTTATAGAAATCTAAATTTTAGAATGTCCTAATAATCAGCAAAACTTTCTCAATGAGTTTTTTTTTTTTTTTTGTCTCTATTCAGATGGGTTTGCAACTAGAGCTACTGCTTACAACTATATATATATATATATATATATATATTTTTTTTTAAGCTTCAAATCTTAACAAATAGGCCATGTTTCCAAAAGGGAATGCAGATTTAAATACTAAACCTCGGTGAAAAGCACACTTGTATTTAACTTTAACATTCCAAGTGTCAAAATTCTGATAACTTCTTTCTAAAATTATATTTAAAATAGTTACTCCAATTCCAAATGCCTTTCCTCTCCCATATCAGTACCTATCTCTTTAGCATTTTCCCTTTCCTTTTTTTTTCTCCAACTTCTAAATCTCCTTGAATTTTTTAGAATGACACTAAGGTCAAGATGGATCTAAAGGGTTTTAGAAACTAGATAAGCTTTAAAAAAAGACAGTGAGCCCTGGGTAAGAAATGAGAACACCGTTGCATCGTTAGAAAGTATTGGTGAAAACAATTAACATTTGTCCATGACATGATCAATCAATCAAGGAATGGATGGAATCCAGATCAGTGTGCCATGAAATGGCTGATGAAGAACACCAACCATTCCAGCTCGCTATCACAGAAGCTAAAATTCTTTCTAAATAGAAGTTAGCTTGGTTCTATTAAGTGAAATCTCACTGCCCATTCCCATCCCTCTTCCCTTTATCTTTCCCTCCTCCTTTTATTCTATTTGTTCCTATTTATTTTTTTAGGCTTCAACAAGTGCTCTACTACCATGATTAAAAATTGGACACTGAGTGACCTTCCAAAAGGAACTATGTGCATATACATATGCCAGTTTGCATTTAATTTCCAAAATGTTCTCTTGCTACTTTTATTTCAAATTCAAAAATAAGGTATGTACTTTGTTTTATACACATTTTGTTTTCATGCTAAAGTAATAAAAATGAAAATACTAAATTTGGGAATTAAAAAGTAAATCCTCAAAGCCACGCCTAACAGAGATTAGTTTTTCCCAAAACAGTTTTAAATTTCTGAGAGAGATCAATGGAACATCAAATCATAGATAAGAATAATCAACAAAATGTCTTCAAGTTCCTATCCTACCCAGTTCTGTTAGTGCTTTTTCTTTTTTAACCCTTTCATACATGTTGTAACATTGCGCTAAACTGATAATCAATGATATAAATGCTAAAGCATAATTTGTTTGGTTCAAATTTGAGTTGAGAGTATATATTATAATAGTAAAAGACAAAAGCCCAATTTACTAGTAATGATCACAAATTCAGAGCAAGTTCATAAACTAGGATTAGATACACACTAAATGTAAAACAGGCTAAAATATGTCTCTCATTTCTATAAATAGACCTGAAATCTTTCAGAGCTCCAGGAAAAGAATGCTGAAGCTTCATGGGAGAAAAATAGAACTGTATGGACAACAGGAACACACACTTCAAACATAAATCAGACCATGTGTACACAGCTTCACATAAAAGCTATTCATTAATAAAATGGTTAATAACATCAAAGCATTTCACATTCCTATTAAAAAATTAATCCTCAACATAATGCTGAGTTAATCTAGTTAATATGAGTTCCCATTTCAGTAGAAGAAACTGAGGGGGAAAAAATTAAGCAGGCTTTCCATGTTTATATTTATAACTCATGAAAATATTTAGTAACAATCACTGATTGCTTTTCACTACAGGACAAAAGAAGTCACTGCATATAGCCTTATCAATTTAGCCTCAATTCTAAGAGATTCTAGGACGATTCAAAACTCAGGAAGTCTCTTGAAAAACTCCCCTCTTTCTCACCTAATTATCTGACTGCCAAACCTCAAAGGGCATGCCACAATTAGTTTTAGCATGCTCCATACCGTAATGTAAAGCAAGTAAGATGGGGGGGGGAAGATCAGAAGATACGGAGTATTAACAAATACCACACAGGTGAAGGACACTACTGCTACCCCTGAGGCGTTTCTGACTTGGAGTGAGGAAATATATAATAGATAAAGTTGTAAATGAAAATTTATGTTTTAAAATTTCCCACTCAACACAATATCCAGGTAAGGGTTTAAATTAAAAGGATTCATCCTCTATGTGGCACATCCTTCAACTACCTTAACAGGACACTAGCTTTACAGAGGTAATTGATCAGATCAGACTTAACCCCATTCTGATCACGCACAAAGGCTAAAATCAAAGAGGTGAGAATAAGTCAAGAAGTCCAGTTTGTATTATGTACACGGGAAGAGTAAGACCACACAGACTGGCTTTAACTCAGTAGTCATGGAGGATTCCCGATGCAATAAAAGGACCTAATATCACCTAGATATTCTTGGACTATTTTATACAGAAAAATATGTTTTAGGCAATTGACTTGAGAACAGCCAATATACTTAGACAGTAGTTCTGCAGTTCTCAAAACATGAAATAATATATAGCATATTTTACTATCTGAGTTTGATTATTCAAATTTTAGTATTTTGACTGAACTGCCTTCAGCTAAAAAATAGGAAAGAAACTACATACTTTTTGGAAATTAGCAGAAAGAACCACAACATTACAAGATTTAAAAAAATGTCACCATGAAAAAAATAAATTAAAAAATAAATAAATAAAAAATAAAAAAAATTTTAAAATGTCACCATGAAATGTACACATTAAAAAGAATGTAAGCCATAATATTTCAGCATAAAAGGGGAAAATGCCAAAATTAGCCCAACTTACTTTGAAAGGATTAGTGTCCATAAACTAATACATATTCAGTGAAATGCAGGATTTTATTACATTTATCTTAGGTAATTTTTGTAAATAATGTGATTAAAACAAAATTCAAAAATCAAGAGGTGTACTTCAATTCTTGCTTATATTTTAATCAAGGATGTAAAAGGCTTTGACATGTTAAAATTCATTCGCAGTCACAGTTTTTTGTTTTTCTCTTTTCCTTTGCATTTTAAGTTTTTCGAGAAACTTCTTCTAAAGAAAAAAGTAAAAATACTATTCAGAAATAATTTTTAATAAATACCCTGCATAATGGATTGCAAAGCAACATTTCTGCTTCCTAAGTATCAAGGTTTCAGGCCAGGTGAGTCAAGAATGCTTTATCATGCTAACAATTAATTTCATCATACAAGAGAAATGTGAAATATTTATTCCCTAACCTGTGTGAGAGTATTTTAGGAATAATTTTAAATTATTCTTAGTTAAACAAAGCCACAGCAATATTAACTCCTATTCTGCACAAAGTGAAAGTATTTAAAACGTGCCAAAGAGAATAAATAAATAAATCATTGATTGCTAAAACTACAGCATAGGGGAAGAGGAAAGAATAATGGGAAAAAATTTTAGGGCACAGGTACTTTAAAACAATTCACCTGTGAGTAAACACTATTCCTTCTGCCTCAATGTGATGAAGTTATAAATTCTAAAACATTAGAAACATGATGTGAAAAATATCTTTAAAATATTTCAGTGAGAAAAAAACGACTGCTGCCACAGTACGCAGATTTCTTCTTGCTTTAAATCTTTTAAGAGAATATTAAATCAATTCCTTTTATTTTTACAATAAGAATCATAGATTTCAAATGCAATAAATTTTTTATGTGTTCAAGAACAATGGTAAATTATCAAAAGTACCTTTGGCCTTGGTTTACTACTAGTTCAGACTATATACGTGTATTTATCCTCCAGCTGATCATCCATCCCACATTTTTCATTAGGAAACAGAGATGCACATGCCAGTTACTGTACATTTTTCCACAGTGACAAGTGCTCCACAATACAGTGGGATAAAATTGGAGCTTGGAGAGCTTGAAGAGCACTCTTAAATTTTAATTAAAACCCTCCAAGCTCACTAAAAATAATTAGACACCAAAATGTGCCAGTTTTATTTTGAAGTCACTATAACGTACAAAGCACACTCCCTGACGAATGCTCATGCTGTCCTTCTCTCTCTCCCCCTCTCCAATGAAATAACTGATTTTCCAAATACGAACAAGGGGGTATAAATAGAGGCTGTTTTCAGGCCTGCTCTTCATGCTGGGAAGCTGACAGAAAAGAGAGCAGAATGGGTTTTTCAGACTGCACCAAATGAACCTAGAATAACTTGCCTTCACAGAGTTCGAATCACTGACAAACTCTAGATAAAATTCAGTCTGCAAGAAACACGAGTTATATCACTGATCTTTTTTGATCCAAAAGCCAAACCTTTAACCTCTTAAATGTTTTTGCTATCTTAAAAT